CTAGCTTTAGTCATACTACTTATGTACGAACCCAATCCTACTGTTTATTGGGCTCGAATTTATACACCAAAGAGTTATAAAAAAATGTCCAAATGCTTAAAGCAAAAAGGTAAACGATAACAAATGTTAACCGGGAAGAAGCGATAAGGAGAATAATAGATGGAGAAGTCGGTGGCAATCGAACCGGGACTCCATCATCAGAGTATTGCTTACTGTCTCTCGTTGTTTTCCCCAAACAGACTGTAACCCTAGTTTTCGCCCCCAAATTCGGAATTCTTCGTAACCAGCTTCCGCGGAGTTATCGAGGTGCGTGGGCTTGATGGAGCATCACAACTATCCATATCATAATCCGTTCGAGCGACGTCCCATCCTTAAATCCAAGGCTCCTGCTGTTAAGTGGATCAAGGATTGGTAATTGGAAACCTAATTTCTTCCTCTCGATTTTTTCAGCTGATTACTCTTTCTACATGCCCAGTATTGCCTTGCCTAGAAGCTTGTCAATTTTCAACGAGGATGCTGGAGTAGATTAGGATTTTACTGAGTCTGGTGGCTTTTCTTGCTTTAATCTACTGAGGCCCTTTCTTTTGGTACTCAGATAGCGTTTATGGGTGTTTGGTAGCTAAGTGAGTAATTCCGACTAGTGCTTACCACATTAGATTCAGATGTGTGGAAACTCTATTAAACTACCCTACTCATGCGCCATTCAGAAAACTTGTAAAATTATGTCTGCGTTGCATTTAACCAATGAGCGACTGTGCAGTGACATGTTTTTCTTCTCCTTTCTCCAGGGTACCACAAGATATTGTTGCTACAGGTGCCAAGTGCTATCTTCGCAAATGGGTCACAGGTGTGGTTGGATGCTTCCATTTCATTCCTTCTACCTGATACTTTATCCAATTTCTATGTTCGCTTATTGTCCTTCCTTTCTTGTATAAGTATGTGCTAGCCTTATTTGGTGATTTATGCAAAGTTTTTGTTGGTACAGAGGACACCTTGAAGAGAATGAAAGAAAAAGAGAAAGAGCCCGATGTTCCAGAGCCTGAGCCAGAACCTACTACGGAGGTTTTATTTCTCTGCAGTTACGAAGGATGTGGAAAAACTTTCTTTGATGCTAGTGCCTTGAGAAAGCATTCCCACATCCATGGAGAGAGGCAGTATGTTTGCCACTACGAAGGATGCAGAAAGGTATAGTAACCTCAATTTGTTGACTTCATGGATGCATTATCACCCATATGCCTAAGATGATGCCTCACCTGCTTAACATTCACTTCCTGCTTTTCAGTGAAATCTCTTAGACCATCTTTCGGTATTGAATTCTTGTTCTGTTTTCCGTGACAGAAATTTCTGGATAGTTCAAAGTTGAAGAGACACTTTCTCATTCACACTGGTGCAAGGGATTTTGTATGCCCTCATGAAGGCTGTGGCAAGGTGATTGATTCTACCATTCTAAGTAGCCTTAAGTCGTGGGCACATGCAAGTAGGAAAGGGAGGAGATGTTACCTGGTCAAGTAACTTTAAATCCACTCTCATGCTGTAACTAAAGCTCCTGTAGATTATGGTTGCAGGCATTCTCCTTGGATTTTAACCTCAGATCTCACATGAAGACTCATTCTCAAGAAAATTATCACATCTGTCCATATAGCGGGTGTGGAAAGAGATATGCTCATGAGTACAAGCTAAAAAACCACGTTGCTGCCTACCATGAAAAGGTATCATTACACATTTTATATTTGTTCCTGAAATACATTTTTATCTGCTAAGGAAGAGGCTTCCTTAGTCGGGATCTATTGGAGTTCAGGGAAAATTGCGTTGCTTTGTGAAGTGCACCAGCTT